GGAGGAGGGATGTTTGCCAAGGCTTCCGAGGCATTTGATATTCTTCCATCTCTTCTACCAGTTGGAACCTTCCAGTAAGGGCCTCCCTGAATAAAAAGGAAGACAAGATTAAGAAGATATTCCATTCAATTAAGCTCTCTCATGGGTACAATAACTAGTTATCTCGAGTTTTGTACTTACTGTGACCACAACAGAGTCTCTAGCAACCAAGGCAACAATATCCGCACATGACACAACTCCAGGGCATTCAGCTTCCAATGCTTTCTTCACACCATCGATAAATGAGAAGCCTCTTAGCGTTTGATTAGGAACAGCCACTTTTTCAGTCTGGTTTTTCGTGCTCGAAGTGAAATTCAGGAGTACAGAACCATCACAACCCTGTAAGAACCCAATCAAGTAAATAAGGAAACTAAATTATCACTTCTAGAAATGCACTCTTCATATGAATGAGGTATAAATTAATTACCCTGACAAAGCAATCGTGGAAATGCAGCCTGAGCAACGCAGCTGCAAGAGACGGAGCATTTGGGATTTGCTTTTGTACATAATCTTGAATTATCTTCTCAGCTTGCGGACAGCTCTTTGCATAGAAGTTGAGCTGCAACTGACCATGGCTGGAACTCGCTATCCCTAGTAGAATACACAACACTAGAAAATTACCCAAATCACCAAATTTAGACATTTATATTACTTACTACTTTTTGCAACTTTTGAAAGAGCTGTTTTTCTTTGTTCGAGTTGCTACACATATCAACTCCAAACAGATCAAAAAGAATTTATAGGCACATTGCTTTAGCTAACTTGCATTAGTTTAAGAAAACAAATTTGTTAGAGTCTGTCTCTTTCATTCAATGAGGTTAATATGTCATATCATATTGACTGATCCCTCGGCATGTTAGACACTTAAAACTAATCTTCTTTTTAAAAAAACACTACTTGATAAAATCATTATTGTTACCTGCTCCTGGAGATTATAGCTACCTTCGTAAGGGTGCCACTACAACAAAAACAATTTTTTTAGCAGCAATAAATATACACATTAACAAAGAGTACTACAATCTTAACCAGCATTAGTTAATTGTCATTTGATCCAATATCGCTATAGGCTCTAGATACATTTACCGGCCTCTACTTCTCATGGATGTAGAGGCAATTTCATTATTGTTTTTTGTTGTGTATATTAAGAGATAGTATAAGGTATTTGGTATTAGTAGTTTAATGTGCGAATCAAAATATGTTGGTATTAGTTCAAAGCATGAATGTATTAAAATGTAACAACCTCACCAGAAACCACCAACCTCAGAGTAATTGTATTTGCTTAGGTATTCTAATTTTCCTTTTGTATGCCTGAAGATATGTGACAACATAACTAAAAGACTCATTCAAAGGCATGAAGAAATGTACGAGCATGGGCGGTCTAGTATCTAAGTCAATTGATCACCATGATCGAGTCACTTACTATAATTCGGGATCTTAACATTTTTAGCTAGCAGACTAATAAAAAATTTCAGTTGTCCTAGCTGTATTATACATAGCGGTCCCCAATTTGTCGGTGTATACGTATACTACCTCGGAGTTCAGTACTATTGGCATTAAAATGCTACAGAATTAAACGAAAGAAACAAATAAAAGCATGAAATTAAATGATAAAGAGTATAAAAATATACCTATTTCATAAGAAAATAGCTATATGATAGTGTGATTAGACAAACTAAGAAAATGGTAATTATGAAATTTTAGGTTAATGATTTGTTTATTTCTAACTAAAAAATAAAATCGATAATAGATTGATTGATTAACTCTCTCTCTCTATATATATATAAGAAGTATTTATATACACTTATATACTACCTTAAAAACACGAACTCCCAAACTTAAATGTTGAATTACTATAATACCCTCAATTAAAAGTACTCAATTAATTATATTTATTAATTTAATTATATTAAAAGTAGATACCTTTTCACATTAAAGGGTTGTGACTTTTCAAAGAGGTGTGCCTTTTCCAAAGGGATGTTATTTTTTTGACGGGTTGTGACATTTTCGAAGAGTTGTGATATTTTCGAAGGGTTGTGATTTTTCCAAAGGGTTGTGACTTTTTCTAAATGGTTCGGCCTTTTCCAATGAGTTGTGACTTTTTCAAAAAGTTGTGACTTTTTCCATGAGCAGTGAGTTTTTCAAAAGGTTGTAACTTTCTGATATGGTACAATTAGCACCTATTCATACTACTATTTGTTAGCTATAAATAGAGGGGTTTCCTCTCACTTTTAAACTACGATTTAAAAAAAAAGTTTTCTACTCTTCTTCTTCTTAAAAATCTTAAGGTTTATTTGCAACAGTTCATTAAGTTCAAAATTCAACGAAATTCGAGGTACGACATAAGAAAGAGTTGGTGAACAAATTGTAGCAAATCATTCATCAATTCACACTTGTATTTTTTTCTTATGATTTTCATGAGTTAACAGTGACGAAATGTTGTGGGAAAGACAATAATAATAAACAAATATGAAAAAGGTCACATGATTTGGGTAAGATATTTCTTCTTTATTATTTCATTATTTATTCTTTTACCCTCAAATGAAGGAGTTTCTTTCTAATTTTACTAAAACAACATGCATCAACGTAGTCCATTGAATTATTAGTTTTGAGGTTAAATCCACTATTTCAAAAATAGATTTTTACTTTTACTTACAATATGATAGAGTCATGATAATAATTATTTTTTAATAGATAAGTAAGTAAAATGAACGGATAAAGTAAAGTGTTGATGTCAAGATATTTTAATCAAATGGAACACTATAATGAATATAGCATGAACATATATTTTCGTATTCCTTCTTCATTGGCTATGTATTGTTTCATATTTTTTTCCTTTTTATATGTATATTACGTATGAAATTTTTCAAGTATGAATTACATGTTATTTTGTGTTCATTTTAATTTGAGAAAATGTTATGTCACAAGATACACTCCTTGCTAGCTATATAAAAATATAAGAAAATAGTGATTGATCATAAAATAATCTTTTATCAAAAAGTTTAATATTTTATATCACGATAAATCTTCTATAAGATACAAGATACTTTCATAAGACAACAACTATATCATATTGTATGCGGCAGAAAAAAGGATAAGACTATAATTCTACAAAGATAAGGTAGACACTTAAAGAAATGAAATATTTTTCACCAAATGTGATGTTGTTCATACATTAAAATTAAATTATGCTATATATATAATAAAGTATTGGTCAAGCTAAATATTTGACATACACCCAAACCTCTATTTAACCATCATTCGCTATAACAACAAAGTACCCTTTTTTTGTAAAATTACCTCTCTAGGATAGTCTTACTCAAATATTAATTGATTACTTATATTTTGTAAAAGATAGATTACGTATAAACATAAAATATCAAAATATTTATTGTAATCCTTATTAGTGTCATGCACATACTAAATTTCAAGTATGAATATTTAAGAGAAAAATTGTACATAAGTGGTGTCCATCTTTTATCTTCATAACCTCAAGAGGAAAGGCTATTGGTGACATTTTTTTTATTTTTGTTGGTTAGATTTGTTTACAAAATTGAGTGAAGTAAAAATAATACTTCTAAAGAAATGTCACTTTCTCTCCATATTTAACTTTAAATATATTTTGAAATGTTTCAATGATATCTGGTTATTTTGATCTCAAAATATAAGTAACTCTATGACAATCTGTACTTAATCATTTAAAAGCATTTTTCCTATGTTCTTTCAGATATAATTATCTACTAAAAAATTTAATTTAGCAATGTTAATTCTATTTTACAACATCGTGTACTATATATACGATACACACGTGCAACGCACGTGCCGTAAAACTAGTATATTGAAGAAAGCCTTGAAAATGAATGAACTAGATGAACAAGTTTATGCCATGGAAGACTTAGGTCTTTCAGAAAAAACTTATCTATTTCAATTATTTCTTTATTTTTGTAAACCTTACCATAGTTAGAATTGGTAACTGTGTACAAAGCTTGGTAATAAATATTATAAATCTTTCATCTGAAAGGTTAATGACTATAGGACAATTGATCCCTTCTTTGAAAGTCGATTTGACTAGGATTTGGATTCCTCCTAAATGAACATAATTCATTTTTTTTCTTTTCTTTTCAGGAATTTTCCTAAAAATTTGATCTATCATAGGTTTTGTTAATAGATTTAATTTGTGTTTTTTTGTTGTTTGGGTAATTTCTATTACCTTTTCTACTTCTTGATACTCATGATAAGAAATTTTATTTCTAACAAATATTTTTTGCATTTTGTTAAATATATTATCTCCTATTTTGAGATATATATATATATCAAAGAAGTGAATTAGTAGTTCAATTTAGAAATTTTAATCGAATGTTGTTGAATTGCATGAAATGACATTTATAAAGTAAATAGTAAGTACTAAAAAAAATCAAACAATTGACACTTTGAATTAGTAGAATTAAATTGGTCAATATTATCTCCATATATATATTCAAGTTCAAATTCATATTTTGTTTTGGTATAAGTATTTATTTTTTATTATATAATTGCAATTTCTGTTGAATATATTGTTTGGAGAGACTGGCACTATCAATTTATCACAACTTGAATTTTTATTATATCAAAGTAAGAACCTGTTTCGGTCTTACAATTTTTACAGGTAACTCTCTTATTTCTTACTCACTTGTTGTTTGCTCTCTTGCTTACTTTCTTACTTGATTTCTTTCTTGGTTGCTTACAACTCAAATGAACCACCTCTATTTATAGGTGGTGATGGAAGAATCTAGCTAAAGGTTTTGCTACTATATTCTAGAATGTTCTTCAAACTACATATTTCTAGAACTACATTTTTCTAGAATATCTCTAGACTTTTCTCTCTAGAATACTCATTCTAGAGATCTTCCTTTATTTCTTTATAACTCTTGAATAGTCTAGGTTCTTCTTTGAATTGTCTTGGATATTAAGTTGGTGATGATTTCTTAACACTCCCCCTCAACACCAACTTTATTTTCTCTTTCAATCATTCCAAGCGCTTCTTGAAATCTTATAAACTTCATGTTGACCAGGCTCTTTGTGAATATGTCTGCTACTTGCTCTTCTGTCTTGATTTGCTTCGCTGACAAGTTGTCAAAGTATAGTGGTATGATATCTTTTGATGGTTGATGCAAGTCTTTCATGAGTTGTTTTAGCCATGTGCTCTCTTGTGCTGCCATTGTTCTTGCTCGATATTCTGCTTCTGTAGTTGAAAGTGAAACACTTGGTTGTCTTTTGCTGCACCATGATATTGCGGCTGATCCAAGAATGAAAACATATCCGGTGGTTGATTTTCGAGTATCATGGTCACCAGCATAATCCGCATCAAAATATCCGATTATCTTTCAAGAAGCTCCTTTCATATAGAATAGTCCATAGTCAATAGTTCCTTTCACATATCTTAATATCTTTCTAATTGCTTCCAAATGAGGCTTCTTTGGTTTCTGCATAAATCTACTAACTACTCCAACTGCGAATAAGGCAATATCTGATTTGGTCAATGTTAAATAGATAAGACTACCGACAAGTTGACGATACATTGTCTCTTCCTCCAAGTCTTTGCCTTCATGGGAACATAGTTTTAAGTTAGGCTCCATCGGTGTAGAAGATGTCTTGCAACCCATCATTCCATACTTTTGGAGTAGATCTCTCGCATACTTTTGTTGTCCAAGGAATAATCCATCCTTTGTTTTTTCAACCTCAAGATCAAGAAAGTGTTTTAGTTCACCCAACTCCTTCATTTGAAATCGCACCATCAATTTCCATATGTATTATCATACACGCCCTTACCCCTTTGACTATGAATGACGGGTGGACATAAACTATTCACCTATACTGTGTGAAATAGTGAGGTTGCTTTCAATAGACAATAGACTCGAATACAAATATTTCAAAAATGGATTTGATGAACACAAATATGATGTAGAATTTTTGAATAAAAAACAGATTTAGAATATTTGAAAAAAATATTTGAAGATTATTTCAAGTTTCACTGTAAACAACTCTTGCAACAAATAAAGTGCCCTTTTCCCTCATTTTTTCAGTTTTCTTGTTCTCTTGGAATTATTTAAACTCTTTGGACAAATAGAAAAGATTAATATAGTCTCGGATAGAGTGCAGTAGCAATATTGTAGTATAAGATTGCATTTGATGAACAGATAACTGGAATGGTTGATCATCTTGGTTTTACGACGAACCAAAATTCAAATTCTTAAAGCAAAAGCATCTGGGAAACCAAAAGTTATATGGGGGAGTAAAAACACATATTCAAAAGTACGGGGTGTCAAAAATGAACCCAAACATAGATAACCCGTCCAGAATTTTAAGGGTTGGGCTCAAGATAATTTGAATTGGGTTCAATCTCAACCCATTCAAGCCTAATCCATTTTAAGAGAATCCTCAATTGAGCTCAATTCAATCTCCAATTTCAACCCGTTTTAAAACGCTTTACTAAGATATGTTCATATATTAAAAGTATGAATTATTATCTATTTAACGCTTTTTAGGATTTATCTATCCATTTGTTACTTTTTAGAAAAAAAAATCTTGAGCTGAAATTCGAATTGTGATTATAAAAGTTAAATATCAATATGTTAAAATTATTGAGATTAATTGGGTCAAATTGGGCGGGTCAAGACCCAACCCATTTTTTAGCCCATTTGAACCCAAAGTAAACTTGGGCGGGTCAAGACCCAACCCGATTTCAATCCATTTTAATATCTCCAATTTCACCTCAACCCGCCCATTTGACACCCCTACTCAAAAGTTAAGTCGCCCAAGTAACCGAAATAATTTTATTTTCAGCTGATGAAATATCTCAATCTATCACTAATTAAATACAAGGATTGTTGCAACACATAGACAAGGATTTCAAGGGACATCTATAAGAGATCATTATTGATCAACGAGGTCTAGGAAAATTTAAAATTTAAACAAATTAGAACACTACACAATTCGTGGTGGAATGGGTTGAGAAAAAAATAATTTAGGAGTTGGACAGATATTTATATATAAGTTAAAATTTTATATACTAAGCTTTTTTTATATGTGACAAGATGATCTATTTAATATAACACTATATTGAATAAAATAAATAAATAATTATTCAATAAATAATATTTTATCAAAACTCATAAGTATATTCTAATAGCCACTATCGTCCAACATTTGCTAACTAGTATTAGCTTTCTCAATCTTTTGCATTGATTTTATGAACAAAGTATATAAATACATCCCTGATAAGCAGGGTGTTATAGGGAAATATTTGGACACCATAGGGCATGGAACTTCTGTGGTCATGAGTGATTATTCAACTGACAAATTGAATGCTTGTGTTGTTGTGTTAAAATTGGATACTCTATTTTAATTTCATGATGATTTGTTAATTGAGCATCAAATTCTTCTGCTCTCAAAATTTTGAGCATAGTTATTTTTGTTGCAGTCTCGATAGTCCTGTAGTGCAATATTATTAACGCCAACATTATAACATAATAAGCATAAAGGAAAATATATTCGGATATTTATTTAGGCATGAAGAATATATAAATATATAGGGTTGTACTTGATCGGGTTGGTTCGGATTTATCAAATATCAAACTAAATCATTTGTAGAAATTTTTAAATTTATAAACCAAACCAAACTAATAAAACTCGAGTTTTTTTTTGAGTTTTTCAACCTCGGGTTGGTTCGGATTTTTCAAGTACCAAATCAAATCATTTATGTCGAATTTTTTAATTTTTAAATCAAACCAAACTAATAAACCTTGATTTTTTTTTCCAGATTTTTGGATTTTTCCGGTAAAGTATTCATACAAACATATAATTAACTTGTGCTCCAAATATTTCTTTAGTCCAACCAAAATACAACTATCTAAGTTCTTAAGAAAATAACACAAAATATGAGATGAGTGATGACATTAAAATGTTCAATAAAAAATAATAATGAATTCATATAAAATAAATATTGCGAATTGATAAGTCATAATGAAAATGATCATAATTTAAAAGTACTAAATCATGCTAAAATAAGTCTAATAAGTATTAATTACATGATTAAACATTAAAGAAAAATTTAAATTAGATTATGAATTTAAATGTCTAAACCAATACAAAACTAAAGAACAAATATTCAACACTATTGTCATTCTTAGTGTTGAATTAATTTTATTTTTTAGCATTAGTATTGATTTGATTTCGAATTGAGCTTTATTAGAGTTACTGATATCTATGCACTATAACCTTTATTGGACCATTCAAAATTTTAAGTCTCAAAAAACTTGAAAAAATATGTTAAAAGATAAAAATTATGAAAACGTATAAGTAATATTTAGAAATTACATCAAAAGTAAATACTTTAGGTATAAAATAAATTTTAAAAATTATATATATAATGTCGGGTTGATTTGGTCTCGGGTTGATTTTTTTAGTTAAAACCAAACCAACTCAAGTATAATCGGATTTTTTTTTTCCAATAGCAAATCAAGTCAAACCAAATCATTAATCTGATTTTATTTCGGTTTGATTCGATTTTCGGTTCGATATATATATATATATATCCAATCATTTAGTTAAAATCTTTAACTCCCCTAGCTCCTTTCAACGTGGAGGAAAATCTTAACGTGGAAACATGTTGGAGAAAATGTGTGTGAAGAAAGTTTGAGCATATTGGATATTTCGGGAAAAGGTAAATATATTAAAATTTCATCAAAGATCAATGCATCGTTTATTATAAATTTGTATACCATTAAAGCATAGGAAACAAAAAAAATAGAGTAAAAAAATGTATGTTTTCACCTAAATTACTCACCTGGTTTGAGTTGGTAAAAGTCTTGCATTAATTTTATGAACAAAGGAGAAATACTTCATTGATGAAAACATGTTTCAACATACGTGTAGAAACTTTGAGTGATTGAGATAGAAAAAAATTAAGAAGAGAAAAAAAAGGAAGAGAATAAGTTAAATATTTCTATTATATAGAAGAGCCACGAGACGGACAACCACTGACATTTTAGTAATTTTAACATCATTTAAGGGCAAAATAATAATTGTATAATTAATGGTCAAAATGAAAATCTAAAAGAATTCATACGTGTTAACTTTTGTTATGGGCCCATAAGGATATTATTGTAATTTTGTTAAAATGAAGAGTTTCTATTAGTTAACTTCTTAGAAACAATAATAAATGCTAAGCTTGTTTTGACATATTTTAGAAAGAAATTTTGAACTAATTAAAATAAAATGTGTTTGAATAGTTAATATTTTGTTCCAAGAAATACTTTAAAGGATTATTGCGTAAACATATTTTTAATATTATGTTACATAATATGACCACTAAATTCGTATCTTGATTATTAAAATAGTCTTTAAAATGACGTATCAATATTTTTTAATTAATTTGAAGAAAATATCAAATTTCATGACTAAAAGAATGAACAATGTTTGACTATCAAGAAATTTAATAATTTGATAATGTATCCATCGAAAGATTAAAAAATATAAAATTCTCATTTCTATATTTTCTTACTATCAAATATGATAAACTATTTAACAGAGAAAATTTGACAAGGAAAATGTTTAACATTCAAATTCTAATGAATATTAAAATTAAAACTAAAGAAAAATGAGTAGTTAAAAAATAAAGAAGAACAACAAAAGAAAATGTCAATAGAAAAAGACTTTGTTGAGAAATATAGAGGAAGAAAAAAACTAATAAATAAATTAGGAATAAACAACCTGAAAAAAAAAGTATATTGGTTATTTTGTGGGGTAAGATTTAGAGTTTTCTTTACGGCGTGATATTAAGAGTGTAGTATCAAAACAAATTAATTAATGTAATTTAGAATATAACATTACGATAATTGTTATTGTATATAGAAATAAAGTTTCTGTCATGATTGCTTTTTTTTTTTTTTAACCTTACCTAGGAGCTCCCACCTCTTTTGCTCCCTTGGTGACTCGAACTCGCAACCTTCGGGTTGAAAGTGAGGGGTAATTTTTAATAAATACTTTCAATATTTAGAATAAAACCTTACGATAATTTTTATTGTATATAGAAATAAAGTTGCTTTCTTGATTGTTTTATTTTTGTGAAGTTAGAAATCAACTTTGTAAGTAATTCTATTTATCGAAGACAATAATAAAATGTATCACAAAATTCATCGACAAAGCCAATTACAAACACGGTATACTTAAGTTGAAGCAATAGAGATTTGAAAGACTTTAATTTGATCTTTACACGAATTGATTGATCAATGACTAATATTTTATCAGATGCAAAGCTTATGGTGCAAATATTACAAAACGAAGATAATAACATTGTGGAAAATATATACCACTTGCGAATATATATGAAGATCGACGAACTTTTTCAAAAATATCAACATTTTATATATTCTCGAACACGAAATGTTTTAACTCATAATCTAACGCAATTCTCTATTTCCTTGCTGCATAGAATTTTTTAGAATTCAACTTTCTCAATTTAAGTTGTAAACGACACATTTATGTCGTATGACCATTTGAAATAGATTATAAAGTAATATATTGAAGTTGTTTACTAAAGAAAAAAAATGGTATAAAGTACAAAAATCTCATATCTTTGGAGGCTAATTACATGGGAAGTTTC